CCTCCCCCCCCCCACCCCCAAGCACCTTTTGTTTAATAATGCATTTCATGATAGTAAAATCTGAAAAATTTATGATTAAAAATTAGGAAAATGTTAACAAAATATTTTATTATGAGAATGTGCGATTAAAAATGAGTTTTAGAAAAAATAAGTTTTAAGATAATGAAAGTCAAACTAGACCTTAATTTCATACAATTTAGCACCCGTCTGACCCGTTATTTTAATTTATAATTTTAGGATTGGTGAAAAAAAAGAAAAAAAATTCAATTTACGTGTAATATTATTTTATGAATGTCACGCCTTATTGAGACTATCTTCAATAAAGATAAATAGTATTACACTTATATGAAATGTAAACAATGATAAACATGTTTTGATTCCTATTTTTCATCTTAAATTGAATAAAACATTTATTTAGATATTATTATATTTTGATCGTAGTTTTTTTTTTTTGTTTCGTTAAGAATATTTTTGTCTATTTAACTATTTGTCATGACATATTTATAAAATTATAAGCAAATAATGTTTTTTGTAATCGTTATACAAAATTAGTATATAAAATTTAAATTTGTAAAATATAGTATGTATGGCCATCTCCAACCCAGCACCAAATTTTGCACCATTTTGCACCAAATTTTGCACCAAATCTTACACCAAACTAAAATTCATCTCGAACCATTACACCAAAAATTACACCAAATGAACAGTATTTAACCATTTTCTTCCCTTTTTTTATTCTTTATAATCTACTTATTTGAAATATTATTTATTTAATTATTTCAGAAATACATAAATTACTAAATAAATAAATAATTAATCGTGTTTGATGTATTTTAAATTATTTTCGTCTTTTAATTAATTAATTAATTATTATGTCTTACATTTAAAATTTATTTTAAACACAAATAATTATTAATATTAATAAAAATAATAATAATTTATTGTATTAAAAAATATATAGCACAAATTACATAAATACCCTCAACAAATTTATTTAGGAAATGTAAAATAAGGGCAAAATTGGCATTTTACACTTGCACCATTTTGCACCAAAATGGTGCAAAGTTTGGTGTTGGGTTGGAGCAATTTTGCACCAAAAAATGGTGCAAAATGGTGCAATGGTGTTGTGGTTGGAGATGGCCTAAAATTACGCGCTGCATTTTGTAATTTCCCATTTCAAATTTATAACGTAAGAGGAACTGAGGAAGTCTCAAGTTTATGCTAAAGTCGTCATTTGAGCAGATGTTTTTGACCTCATATATAACCGTCAGGTGTTAGCCACTATCCCCATGTAATTTACGTTAAAATTAACAATTAATTTTAATTAAGAATAATTGTAATAACGGTTCCTAATTTTATTTATTTATTTTTGTTTTTGTAGATTTTACCTTTTTTTTGGGGGTAGATTCTACCGATAGTAGTCAATTACCAGAAAGATAGAAAATACACGATTTATAGAGGCGTGCTTCAATTTGGGACTATGTACTCTTACTTGACTGTAGTAATGCAATATGATGAAAAAGAGTTTACAAAAGAACATACGCGATTTCCCCTAACATCTCTTTGCCTCTTTTTCGGTAACAATCCAAAAGTCTAATAACGGATTTCTATTTATTAGACAAATTAGGGGAATTTAATATTTACAAGAACATAAATTCCTAACATGAAATTTACAAGGACACAATATTCTAAATCATACTTAATAAATTTTGTTCCAAGCCCAGGGTCCACAATGACCTCCCGGTGAAGGTCGATCCACGTACTAATTTCAAGGAGCGACAATAATTAAATTCCACAAATTAATACATTGTAATACTGGAAGCTTCCTTTAGCGTAGTGTAGGCGCCCATGTTTTCTTGAACTATCGATCATGGTTTTAAGAAACAATATTGAAAATTGTGACGTACTTGAAGGATTGGCAAGAGGCACACCGAGTACAACATCAAGCTGACAACTCAATGGCTGAAGCTTTCCAAATAATTAATTGTTATTTACGTTAACTTTCTTTATTTTATAATTTTTTTCATTTAAAAAATTGTACATGTAATATTTTTTTTATTTGTATTTTAACTGTGACATCCCAAAACCTTGGGAAATTTATAATGCACATTCATACCTTCTATTGTGATGTATATTTCATGTAACATAGTAAAAAGTTATTCTAATGATTTTATAATCTTACGAAAAGAATTGAATTAAGATTTTGGTTAAAAATCACGTGAAAAAAAATTTAAGAGAATAAGGTGGCTACCGTACATAAATTACCTTTTCACTCTAAATACTAAAATGACAAATGGTCTAATAGATTGAAAATTAGGTAGCTACTCTACATAAATTACTGTGTCACTCTAAATACTAGAATGATAAATGGTATAATAGGTTAAGAATGAGGTGGCTACCCTACATAAATTACTGTGTCACTCTAAATACTAAAAGGACAAAAGGTATAATAGTTTAAGAATGAGGTAGATACATCACATAAATTACCGTGTCACTCTAAATACTAAAAGGACAAATCCTACATAAATTAATGTGCCACTCTAAATACTAAAAGGACAAAAGGTATAATAGTTTAAGAAATGTGGCTACCTTACATAAATTACAGTGTCACTCTAAGTATTAAAAGGACAAATGGTATAATAATTTAAGAATGAGCTGACTACTCTACATAAATTACTTTGTCACTCTAAATATTAAAATGACAAATGACATAATAGGGTAAAATGTGGCAAAATAATTATTAAGGAAAAATAAATTGATTATTAATTCAATTCTCAATTACTACTATAAATAGGAGAGAATGAGAGAAAATGAAAAACATACGACAATTTAAAAATCAAAGTCAAGTAACTTTATTAAGAAACACTTTTATTATCTTGCAACTTGAATGTGAGTGATCTATGCCCATTTTTCTTCCAAAAATATTTATTACAATTATGTTTATTGGATTACTTTTGCTTTTCAAATTAATTATGGATCCATGATTGTACCTATTGACATTTCATTGGATATTGGTATTGCATTGGATAATGATTAATATTATTGATTTTACACCAAATTGGTGTAATTGACTAATGAGCTCATATATTGTTATTCTCATCTTGTACGTACGGGTATAATTGAACATCTATAATTGGGGTCCATTGTTTTCCTTATTCAAATACAAAAAGATTATGGTATAGATTACTTATATATATATATATATATTTTTTTTTATTTTTTTTCTTGTAGATGATCACTATTGAATATATTGACTTTACCTTGGGTGAATGGATGATTTCGGAAGATGGTTGGTATTGCATATATGTTAAAGAAGTCCACACGTGGATGAGGTATATTGACTATTTCGATGCCACTACTATAATGTACTTATTTTCAGATAATTTTCCTGGAGAATAAATGTGTATGAGTGATCTTTGATGTGTAGTATAAATAATATCAATTGATTATGATTGTAAGGTATGGTGCGTTGTGTAACTTTTGTACATTTTGCAATGTAACAAAGTATATAAGAAAATTTTCAACTATCTTATTATTGGTGTAACTTACCTATTTCATGCCTTACAAATTGTCAAAAGTTTTTTCTCTCTTCATAAAGTATTTAAAATTTTGCAATTTCTCTGCATAAGTTTAAAATTAAATGACAAGATTGGGATTGTTACATTAATTTCACCTACATTAGATGTAACCAATTCCAAGGCCCAAAAGAAGAGGGATTTTAATAATAATTTATCTACTAAGTTTAGAACTTTTTGAATAAAAATAGTGAACTCATCCATGCTTTTCAACATTCAATTAAAAAAATCAAGTTTTAAGAATTATTTATACAAAAATGTGTCTTAATTTATTTTTTTAATATTAATAATATTGTTATTTATTTTTCTCAATATCTCTCATTTGAGGCGATGGCAGTGGAACGAGAGGTGGGATGGTGGTGCAAGTAGTGGTGCTATTGGCAGCAGTGAGATGGGGTGGGATTAGGGATGACAATGGGCTATGCCGACAGTAATGGTTGTTCAAGTAGTGGTGTTACTGGCAAAAGTGACATGGGGTGGGATTAGGGATTGCAATGGACCGAATCAATCCCCACGAGCTCGTGGCTCGTGAAAGATAAGCCGAGCTCGGAATCAATCCCCACGAGCTCGTGGCTCGTGAAAGACTAGCCGAGCTCGAGCTCGGCTTGGCCCACGAGCTCGTGAGCTCACGAGGCACGAGTTCACGGGTCGAGCCGAGCCCACGAGCCGGTCCCAAGCTCGTGATTTTTTTAAATTTTTTTCTTTTGATAAATTTGCACATTTTTTGACTTTTTTTTTTTTGTAAATTAAAATTTTTTTTATGAGCCGAGGGATTCAGCCCTCTGCTTGACTCGGGCTCGTCTTTTGACGAACTTGAGCC